TGTTAACCGGGTTCTATTTTCAGTTCCTCATAATTACTCGTCTATTCAATTTGCAGACGATTTTGTTATTTTATGTATAACGATTAACGATTGATAATAATCCGGAGTCAGTTGTCAGTCATTTAAAATTGGCCTTTAATAGTGTTAATTCTTGACTTGATTCGATAAATTTAACTTTGGAAATAGGCAAAACAGAATTCACAATTTTTCATAGGACTAGAAAATTTGTAATACCAATAAATATTCAATTAAACAAGATCATTCCGTTTTCTAACTCGGTCAAATATCTGGGATTGATTATGAATTCAGGCTTAAGATGGAGAGATCACTTAGTCGAACTCAAGCGTAAGACAACAAAGTTTTTAAATATTCTAAAATGAATTTTCGGTACTTCAGGGTATTAGTCTAATGACCGTTATTATGTTTGTGGAGAATTTATCGCCACTACTCCAATTGCAAGAAAAAAAAGATTAATATAACGATTTCAAGGAAAAGATTAGGATAGATACAAGAGATACCGAATAAATGTATTAGTCTGTGCGGAAATCAGCTGTACGAACAAAAAAAAAGTAAACATAGACAGAGTCACGAGACAGTTACTGACGAGCGAAAAACAGGAAAAGAAAAAGCGAATAATTATTCGCGAATAATTATTCAATTAGAGAAAGAAATTAAAGAAACGCATAATAAAACGAATTTATGCATAAGAACGGATAACAAATAGCCCAATAATGCTGCCGTAATTCGGTAAGAGATGCAGCCACTGCATTCCGTTAGGGAAATTGAGTCGCTAGTTGCAAGTATTTGATAAAAGTGGAATTTTGAAAACGTTTAGAATATTCGAGAAGACAAAAGCGGTCTCTCCGGCACAAATAAAAGAACAAGTGAGAAGAGAGCGCTTCTACTTGTCTTTTGTCTCCAGTTGTGTAAGTAATCTGTAATAAAGTCGTTATTTTTATTTCGTGGATTGATCATTGGCACTTGCACATACGCCCATATCGCTAGAATTCCATAGCAATCAAATGTTTATTAATGCAACTATTTGGCTACCAGGAGTGGGATTCTTCTTGGTTTATTAATGCGTATAAAACATACATTAAACAAATAAATAACATGTTTTACAGAGCTTATAAATTGGCTCTAGGCCTTCCTAAATCTTCGGCAAATCGCGTATGCTGGAAATTCTCTGGGCAGAATCCTTTTGAGATTAGAATGGCAAAATTAACTGATTTTCCTCTTAATATATTCAACTTATAGTACTTTTATTATAAATAGGATTAGCCATTTATCACATTTTGATACATCGTTCCTTGTACATGGAAGAATTGCAAAAAGAAACTTTCCATATATTGTTTATAGATGAAATGAAATAAATGCTTTTAAGGATTCAATTATATATATTTATTATATGAGAAATCCACTTATCGTTTCCTTATCCCTTTGGACTTTTTATCTGTTAAATTGAAGGTGGATTTAAACTCGGAAATTTTGGCTAGGGGTTGTGATAATCCAGATAAAGCCTTTATAAATTTAACTGCATTTAGAGTTGTCTTACTTAATGAGATTAGAATTTACAAATGACTCTAGACATTTCTCAGATGTGGGATGTGCCTTTTGGATTCTTTCTATGAATTTTAGTCAAGGATATTTTTTGAACCCGATTTCTAATTCTTTTGTGGCGAAGGCTTTTTGGGCCATTTTTGAGATACTAAATTTAATATTAAGAAAAACATTCCTTTCACTAACATTTGTACAGATTCAAAGAGCTGTTTAACTACATTTTGGGCGTCAGTGGTCAGACGCCTTGTGCGTTCGACTCGTGACCTACTGTTAAGAGTTTGCCGACGTCCCACACAGAGGCTCCGATGATTTGCTCCGGCAGGAGGCAGTCTAATTATTTGATTGTCTCAGCATTATAGGCAAGCCAATTCCGATCCTAATCCCTATCCTTATCCTTCCAGAACGTCTGGAGGCGCAAATAAGTAGACTTCCTCGTGGTTCCCCGTGGTTTTGAGGCATGTCGCAGCGAAACTGCTCATCCTTGCAGAAACGCCCTGTAGGGCGCTACTGGATTTTTCCATCGTCCTTCTCGAAGCAATGGATAATGAATTTCGTTGGATAATGAATGATAGTCTGTCGCGTATACCTTTGTGAGTGAAGTGGCATGTTCGCCTCATCTTCGGGATGGGGCCAACTTATATTAATTGTTTAACTACATTGTCGTAGGGTAAAAAGAACAAGTCTAAGCTTTGTCCCTTAATTCGGGATATTCAAAACAAATTATTTTCAATTGACGAAATGCAATGTTTATAGTCCACTTATTATTGAATGCCAGATGTTGCAGTCTCTTTAGCCATAAAATCTAGTTTCATTATTTTTTATTAGATATCAAGTGAACTGAATATCAGGAAAATTTTTCCTGATAAAATCTTTTTTAGATCTAAAGTTATATCCCTTTCTTTCTTTGTAGCTTATGTTGTAGCTAAGACAAATATAAAAGCAATCAAATATATAATTAACTTTTTAAATTTCAATGACTTAAACATTTTGGATGTTGTACTATTTTAACGATCTATTGCCTGAGAGGTGCTTCACCCTTCAGGTCATCTGGTGATGCCAGCTGTAGTTGGATCTCGGAATTCCATCCTTTGTTATGCGAAGGAATAGTATCGACTCTGGGAATTCAAATGATGAGTTGAATCTCTGGCAGTAGTTGATGCGAGAGGTCCTGATCTCATAGCTGCGAGAAAAAGTGACTTCCGGAACACCAACCTTGTTAATTGCAACAAAGTAAAAGTGAAACCTCCGATTCCTCGTGGAGGTTATCACGGATATATTCACGGAATTTTATACCCAAATTCAACGCATGGCACTGTGATCCTTTCCTTGGATCGGAAAGCAGAAGCATAAGAAGAACCGGATATTAATGATATCCGGCTATCCGATTGGATAATAAAAAAGTGTCAGATAATATCGAATATTTTCCGGATATCCGGTGCATCCCTACAAAGTTATTCTTTAACATACTCATCTTGCATTAAATTAATACAAAAATTTGATGGACTACTTGAGACATGTGATTAACACAAACTTTTTCTGTGTATTAAAATTATTTTTAAAGAACTGGAAAGGAATTGGAGTCAAGCGCAGAAGACGCACAAATAATATCTCTATGAAATGTGAAATTTCTTTATTCATTAAAATGCACTTACATGTTTCGGTTTATTTTTGAGCCTTCCTCAGAGACAACATGAACTAACATATATAATATAAAAATTGTGAATAAAATCTTATCTTGTCATGGTGAGCTCCCCTACATCGAGAATTTAAATGTCGGAATTAAAACCAAAATTTTTCTCAATTTGACAAATCAAGTAAAAACTATTAAAAACTATTAAACTATTAAAAAACATTTAAGTATGAGGGGCTGTTGGTAAATAAATAAAAATAAAAGGTAATTAAATTATTATAGGTTGAAAAAATAAAATGAAGGTAGGTTAGAGGTTTGTAAGTTTATTACTTTGGCAGAATAGTGCATTAAATTTAGAATTTAATAAAATATAAAAATATTAACTTATACATAGGTTTGAAATTATCTTATATCATTATCTTAATGATATCGATATTATTATCGATAAATTTAAATTAATCGATAAATTATCGATAACTTATTGACAATAGTATCTTTAAACTCAATACTAGGATGAAACGTCTGAATCTAATTTTTTTAATATATGTATTATTATACATGAAAATAACTAGTGTTGGCTCACATTGACATTTCCTTACATATTTATTGTGAGTTTATCTAGGGAGCCTTATATTGTAACTCAAATTTTATATTAAAAAATATATTTTATTAAAGATTCAACTGACTCGCTCGATTTCTTGCTTTTTATTCTTCTTCTTTTTCAGTCCAAAGGATTTCAGTCTTAAACGTTCAGTACCAAGCAATCTAAGCATCTAAAAAGAGAAGTCAGGCCAAAAGGTCCATTCAGCAAATTCAAAAATCAAGCTGGAGTATTAATGTGGATAAGTCTACTGTAGAAACAGCAATCCAAGCCTAAACAAAGGGAGATTTTGGATCAAAATTCAACAGAAAAGCGGAGATAAAGACATCAAGTGTTATACTCACAGACAGGACGCAAATATAATGTCCGAAACTAAAACAAAGACAGCTCGGAATCAGATTTTTTTCCTATCACAGTGATCTAGATACAGAAGTTTATGGACTAAAGACAGAGGAGCCTTAATTCGTTTTTTTTTTCTAATAAATTGTAAATAAAATTTTTTCTTAACATTTTATAGCTTTATTTATTATTTTCTTATCTATATGTTCCATTTATATTTTAATAGCAAATGCATAGATGTTGATATATAACAAATAAAAATGTTATGCATATAATCATAGACATATAATCCAGACATATTTATTCAAAATTTACTAATTACTTTCTACAATGAGGAGCAGACTTTCAAAATGCATTTTGTCTAAAATTTGTAATTTTCAGAAAATGAGAAAGAAAAAACTATGCACTTTATAAAATATAACAATATATCAATTAGTAGAATGTAAAATATTAGGTGTAGTAAAAAGAAATCCATTATTTTGCATGAAATTGAATGGAAAAATAATGGATTTCTTTTTACTACACCTAATATTAAACAAAATTGTTTAATAGTTATTAAAAATTAACCAAATGAATTTTGTTTGTTTCTAGTTAAAAAACATAATGCGCTTATATACTCTATGTTTTTACAGAATATAAAAAACGATGAAAAAAATCCTTTTGCACATCTCAGAATAACTTTTAATATAAATCATTCAATATTGAACATTACGCCATCTTTAACTAAAAAAACGAAATTCTGAATAAAATGCATTTTAAAAGTCTGTTCCTCAAATGTGTACAGTAGAAGTCAATATTTTATTAAAAATAAAAAGACAAATCTCTTTCGATGGAATTTTTGCATATATTTATGAATATGTAATTAATTTCATACTATAATTTTGACGAACTTATTACAGAGACTTATTTCCTGGTATCTGTAAACTTATCAATGGATTTGAAGCACGTGCTAGATATCTTGATTTGGTTGTTGCTCCTGATACAGAATCTCTATCAAATTTTCTTTTTCTTCTTCCTATTCCCATGATTTTCTTCAAAGTGGGTGGTATTATATATTCAGGCACATCTTTTAAATGTGGTTGAAGTTTCACAGTATGCAACGTCTTGTCTTGCCGTAATGATTTCAAGTCTCGTGGATTATCCTCAAAATAACTTTTTAGCTTTTCACAATTTATAACTTCTTGTTTAATTTCTTTCAATCTCGCTTCTCGAACAGCAATCCTTGTAACGGCTTTCCAAGCATCTTTCGCACGATATCTAAAATTATCATAATTTCATAAAATAAGATCAGCATAAAAAATAATTCTAAAAAATTTAAATAAATTAAAAAACAAAGTTTGTTTGAAAAAAGTATGCCTCTCTCTCTCTCTCTCTCTCTCTCTCTCTCTCTCTCTCTTTTTCTCTTTCCTCTTTTACAAAAAAATCTTTAATATGTTGCAAGAATAAAATTAGAAAAATCAAATTACACATACCGAAAGCCTTCCATTTCTTCCAATTTAAATTGATAAATTTTAAATAGATTCTCACAATGGTAAGTGTGCTTCAATTCTTGTTCTATTTTTTCCATTAATGATTTTTCCTTAATAGCTACGAAGCTAAGAACGGTTCCATGGTTCTTTCCACGAGCAGTACGCCCTGCTCTGTGTACGTAAGAGTTTAAATTCAATGGGAAGTCAAAGTTGATTACATTGGATACAAATTGAAAATCGATGCCCCGTGTTACACCAGATTCCTTGTCTTTTTTTCGTTTACTTTTTTTCATCTTTATCATATGCGACTATAAAAAATATATTTTAAAAAATGATACAAATAAAATATATTTAGTTAAAATATATTATAACATACACGGAGAGAATTTTCTCTTAAAATTTATTTTAAAATGCATGATAATCGTAGAATAATATATATGGTATTTTAAAGAATTTTATGTGTTTCTTTCTGATTTAATGTTGCCACAATAAAATATATGAAATACGTTTAATTAATTTTACTAAAATTAACGTTTCAATAATTTAAAAATATATATATTGAATAGTTTATACTTCTTTGTTTTCTTCTCTGTTTTAAATGAAATAGATGTGTGCTTAGTAGTAATAAACTTGAAATATCTTACATGAATTTCACAATGTAGCATGCTATTTTTAACCTAATTGTCAGTTATTTTTTATAATTTGTCAGTTATTTTTTATAATTTTATCAGCATAATAATTAATCGGCTAGAAACTATGGTAGGAGCATCTTGGAGCATGTTAGAGCTTATTACGCGAACAAACCTAAAGACAGCTTGTAAAATATGTGGCTTCATCGTACAACATCAATATTATGGATCAACATCAATATTAAACAAAGACAAAATTAAAATATAAATACAAATTATCTTCAACTCTTATAAATGATGGTGAGTCCAGGTATAAGTTTTATTTTATGTGAATTGATAAATCGATAATTATTTATACAAATCTGTAAAGAACGCATTTGTAAAAACTTGAGAAAAAATATTGAGTATGATCATTACATTTAATAATTCTGTTTCATTAAAAAAAATTTAATAAAAATTTTAAAAATAATTGTTTGAAATAATCTTACATAATATTTACTTAAAGTAAATAAATATATAATTACTCAAAATAAAAAATAAAAAAATTACACTTAAATCAAATTAATGATTCTTTTATCAGATAAATGTATGTTTATATTTAATAAATATTTATTATTTAGTAGTATTTAAACAAATATTTTTTAATTTAATAAATTTTTTTCAGTATAGTTTTATGTAATTAATGAGAATTGCAAAGAATATTTTTTAAATTCTCCGTATTTTTTGCTGGCGTTGAAGCCAACTTTTTGGAAGAAATTATCGAATCTCTAATTCCATCGACTAATTCAAATTCTCAAGAAACACCACGAAAAAAGAAGCAAATGATAGAAAATCACTTCTCTCACTTTTTCTTGCGAAGCAAAAAAAAATAATAAGAGCACGTATGATTGAAACGTATCAGTTGCCTCTTTTATTCGTACACAGCGGTGGAATTTATGAAAATCATAAAACTAAATTATCGAGTTCCATATCCACCAAGCTATTCGTGTACTTAGAAGTAGCTTGACAAAATTAGAAAAGAAATCACAGAACACTTAATTAAGGTGTCTTCTGCAATCACTACAAACGAATGATCATTCAAAGCACATGATGCATCTTTATCCGTAATAATTCATTTCATTAATTCTGAATGGACCTTTGCATAATTTTACAATGGCCACAATAAATATGGAAGACCGGATTCCACAGCGGATAATACAGCTGCTACCTTAGAAATCAAACGAGAAGATTGGAAACTTAACGAATGACATTTATATTTAGTGGTACATGATATAATAATTAGACTACGGATATTTGCAAAATACTTAACTGAATATTAACCATTGGACATTTTTAGCAGTCGATCATTATTTGTTAAAAAATAAAGTAGTTATTAAAAAGTAAAGTAAAAAGATTGAGATTGCTATCTGTAAATGCAATTTATACAAAAAATGCAAAATATTCAATTGTATTTTACATAAATATCCGCAGTCTAATGATAATACTATTATATAAAAGCTGCGGTCCGATTAATTATTAAACGATATAAAATGTAGTATCAATTGCAGTGCACATTACAATTATGCACTAAGAACACCTTAGATAGTGTACATGAATATCATAATGTAGGTATAAAAGCAAGCAAAACTGTTAAGCATTCAAAGAACTATATAGCATTAGTCATTTTAAATACTCAAAGAACTATAATAAAAAATTTGTTCTTTATAAATAAATAATTTTTATTATAAATAAATAATTAAAAAAACATTTTTTTTATTATAACTATAAAATACTCTTGAAGCCATTCAATTTTCATTCTAGAAATTTTTTCCTATCTCTTACAGTTTCGAAGATATTTGCTCTAAAAGAGAAATCGATTTTTTTCAAAGAGGTATTTCACTTTAAAGTGCGTATGGACACGTATAAAAAAATCGCTTATTTTTGTCTGGAGAATAACATATTAAAAACTTATCGGAGTGTAACCTTGGGTCGGTGTGCTTATATACCTGCGCGCCGAATTGGTTTATTGCTTATAACTTCGCTAATTTTACGAATTTCAATTTAAAATTTGTTGTACATATTTTTAACATGTTATACTATAATATTCCGTAAAAAAAAAAAAAATTTTTTTACCCGAAAAACGAAATTCCTACCTTAAGTCAAAATCAACTTTATCGAGTTACAAATTGGACATAATTTGGATCTACTAATATGGTGAAAAGCATATGAAGATGCAGAAGAGAATTCTATTCCATATCGCTAAGTCGCTTCGCATGGAAAGTGCGTCCTTTAGCAAAGGGGAGATGGGATGAAAGTCGCTTTGCATGGAAAGTTATGTATTTCTTGAATTCGTCCACCTTATATCTCTGTCAAAAGTTATCTGACTCTTCATGTAAAGCAGAGAAATAAGTACTAATTTTAACTGTTAATTACTTTTTAACGAATAACGAGCGACAGCTAAAGAGGTCACTCAGGATCATGTCAAGGTCACAATATATGTCAAGGTCAGAGTCAGTTGGAGTTGGGTCTCCTAATCGATATTTTTATCCGCTATTTTACAAAATAAATATTTATCGCATACAAAAATATACAAATTTCGCAAACAGAATATATATTATATGTATAGATAATAACAAGTTAGACGCATAATGTTGAGATTTTTTAATATTAACAAAACAATATCCAATTGAATATAAATATTGATAGATATCTTATAAAATAAAAAAATATTAAAAATAAAGAAAACATCAAATAGTAACACAGATTCTTTATTAAACGATATCATAACTTAGTGTTAATTTAAAAAATTTGCAACTAATCAAGTTAAGTAGAAATAAAAAGGTACATTTGCGAAACAAATATCTAAAAACTTATATGTATTTACTTAAACATTATTTAAGTTCTGACATACTTAAAATCTTTTTTTTAATTTCTTTGAATTATTTTACAATCAGTTTTCTAAAGCCTATTCTACATAGTATTCTTTGTTTTTTGTTTCTTGGTTTTTGCCTCTTGCCTCTTCGCTCTTTGCAACCATTTTATCGATAATTGTACAATATTTCTTGCTACGTATTTATTGTTTCTTTCGAAGTTTGTTAATTTCTATCGGGCGACATAAAACAAAAAACCGGATAAGAAGCAAAAAGACAAGATGTAAAAAATAATAAAAAGCAAGAGGATCATAAAATATATATCTATTCTTGAATATCATCTTTTTGGGGCCACTTAAAAACCTTTAAATTTTTATTCTCCTTCCTTCCCTTCCTTACTTGGAATCGAAAAGCTAAAATCCAAGTCCGATTCTACTTCATTATCACATTTTCTGCATTATTAGTCATCTCACACCGATTTCTCACATGTGAGAAATTTTCGGTAAGACGTAAGATTTAATTTTCTTCATTTCTATATCTTTTTTTTTGTTTCGTATGAAAGAAGTGATTTTTTTGTTGTTCGTTTCTTTTTTTATGGCGTTTCCTGAGAATTTGAATTAGATGTCGATAGAAATGGAGATTCGATAGTTTCTTCCAATGAGTCGGCTTCAATGCCAGCAAAAAATACAGAGAATTTAAAAAATATTCTTCGCAATTCTCACTAATTACATAAAACTATACTGAAAAAAATTTACTAAATTAAAAAATATTTATTTAAATACTTCTAAATTTATTAAATATAAACATATCTGATAAAAGAATCAAATTAATTTGATTTAAGTGTAATTTTTTTATTTTGAGTAATTATATATTTATTTACTAAGTAAATATAATATTACTGTAAGTAATATGTAGGATTATTTCAAATAATTATTTTTAAAATTTTTATTAAATTTTTTTTAACGAGACGGAATTATTAAATATAACAATCATACTCGATATTTTTTCTCCAAGTTTACAAACGCGCTCTTTACAGATTTATACAAATAATTATCGATTTCTATCAATTCACATAAGATAAAATCTAAACTCACCATCATCTATAAAAATTGAAGATAATTTGTGTTTATATTTTAATTTTGTGTTTGTTTAATATTGATGTTAATTTAAGATTTGTTCACGTCGCATGCTCCAATATGTTGTAATATGCTCCTACCATAATTCTTACTCATTCTAACGCGCTTGATAGAATGAAGCATGTTAGAGCATGTTGGAGCTTGCGATGCGGACCTCTATTGTACGATAAAGCTTCGCCACATATTACAAGCTGCCTTTGTCTCATCTTCCGATGGAATGCATACATCTTTATGCAACTTTTTTAACAAAATATGATTATACTAAATTCTGATTATTCCAGAAATGTGCGATCGTTGATAAAGATTTAACATTAATGCGTGAAAATAGCATTTTATTGAGAAAAAACTGTACGTGTATCATCGAATAACGTATCTAATACGAGTATTCGAATAATACGATTAATACGAACACCTGGGTAATATGATTAATACAGATACCCGGGTAACTCGCATGTTTCGGATGAGTACCTGGATATCCGGGTATTATTAACACTAAATATATATATAATTAAGTGCTCAATAGTGCACGCGCCTGTTATGTTTTAGTATTAACAAAATTTCGAAAAAATTTTCCTGTCAATGCTACAACGTCATGAAAATCCTCAAAAGTATTATTCTTGCTGTTTTTCAAAATTGACATGACATGATAGACAAAATTGAAAAATAGATTCATGTCCAGCAAAAGTAAATATGTATTAAAAATAGCTCACTATTAAAACAACTTTTTTTTTACAGAGTAATGTAAATGAATTGGTTGCTAAATTGTTTCATGTTTAATATTAAATATAGTAAAATGTGTAGTGAATTTTTGCGGTACAATATAATAAAAAATTCTCTCCATGTACATGTATTCTTACCTCTTCTAGTACTTTCTCATCCGATGCTATTATAATATCATAAGTGCCACTGTTAAATTGTGAAACCGCTCTACATCTTGAATTTGCTGGTAATTCGGAATTTAAAACACAAGTTGGAATACCAAATTGCTCTAAGAATAATTTCAATTTATAGCATCTATCCACAGTATGTACAAAAATTATAGATTTGCCCCTAAATGAAAAATAAAAACACATAATATTTTTGTAATGATTCGTAAACATCATTTTCTATTAGAAAATATTATATACTTTACTAAACTTATGTATGTATAAGATACCTAATTAAATGTAATTTTAATAAAGCATATAAAATAGCAGCTTTATCATTTTCTTCTGCAGCCAAAGTATAGTGAGCCAATTGTGTAGGAGGAGCTAATGGTGGCTCTTCTAGCTTTAAAATTGCAGGATTGTGAAGAATTAATTTTTTTAAACTTTGAACATCTTCAGACAATGTAGCAGATGCCAAAATTGTTTGATATGTTGTTGGTAAATAAGCTAATACAGCTTTTAAGTCCTTTTCGTATCCAAATGAAAATAGCTGTAATAATTAATGTTATAATTATAATAAATGTATTAAATGAATCTGACTAAATTTAATTTGTAATGTTTGTAACTTCTACTACATGAGTACAGACATACCAAATCAGCTTCATCAATTATAAACGTATCGAGACTATGTTTCAGCATTAAATTTTTTGCTTTTAAATGCTGTAGCAATCGACCCGGTGTAACCACAACAATATCTGGCATATCTCTCAGTAAAAGTTTTTGCGCATTTAAATCCGTTTGTAAACTAAGATCAACTGTTCTGACTTCCCTACAGCATTTTGTTGTTAGGCTCACGATAACATCATGAATTTGCCTACACAGTTCCTTGCTAGGTGCGACGATCAGGCCCTTGATCTCCTGTTTCTCTTGTATCCGTTTGTTTATCAATATTTTCTGAATAAGTGGTACTACAAAGGCAGCAGTTTTACCCGAACCTGTACGAGCCTTGATTAAGAGATCCTTTCCTTCCAATAACAAAGGTATCACTTTGTCTTGTATTAATGTAGGTTCCGTCCAACCTAGTTTTGTAATAGCCTATAATTTAATTAATATATATTTTTTAATCTATATTTCTCTTAGATTATTCTTATACTTGTTGCTTCGTACATTTGTTACACTTTAAAAATATTAAGAACTATTATGACATATTTTGATATTTTCATTCATTAATTATGAACTTTTGAATTCGTCAATGTTTAATGGTTAAGTACCAGAGGTAATTGACAAAATAATGCAAGAAATAAGCGTTCAAATAAGTTCTACAATAACTTAATTTCCTTAACTCTCAATTACATGTTTCGTTTTAGAGTCTTAATTTACAAGTCTGGATTCAAGTCGACGACGTTTTTGACTGGCTTTGTAATTATCATAAATCTCAATAGAAAATTTTTTTTTTTTCATGAAATGTCAGAATGTATAGAATCGAGATATTAAAACATAAAAAGATAATAATAGAAAAAGTTATGCCAAAAAAATATTAAAGAACAATTTGTGAAAAAAGCAATAATCAGTTTTCTTAAAAAAATCTTATCATTATGATAAAAAAAGATATAGATAAAAATAAGTAATATTTTGAAAAGACGAAAACATAAACTTTAAGAAAAAAAAAACGTTATTGATTCATCTCAAAAAGTATAATTATTTGCACTGAAGTGGGGGCTTTTGTACATGCTTGAAAAATGATATCGGAGGTGACGAGTATTTTGTTCTTTAAAAAAAAAAATGCAAAAAATATTTTATATTAAATATATAATGATTTCAATATTATTTACTCACGATTTTATAAGTCCGAGAAAATAGAGTGATTATTCAAGATGCCTCTCTGGCAAAAAGAGAGGCTTTTTTTTTTACAATGAATATATGTTTCAATTATGAGAAGACATCATATATATTTGAATACAACACAATAAACAGGCGCTTACTAAAAACGAATTTTCATTTTCGGTAAAAATCTGTCGTATTTACATTTGACGGGTCTAAGTTACTCAAGCCAAACTTTTATTTATCAAACTTTTATTGCATCACAATTAGTATCAAGACAACAACAATTGCATCACGGCAATCGACAAAGAAAGGTTCCAAATTTTTTTTTACTCCCTCTACCCTCTCCTCTCACTTCACCTTTACAATATTAACCGTACAAAAATAGCGACAAACTAAAATTTTAATCCGGGTTCAAATGATCCACTCATATAGTTAATACATTTAATTTTTAATTGCCAAGGTATAATTAACTGTTACTAAACCAAACTATTCTTGCAAAGTAAATGTCCAATAATGAGATAACAAAAAGAAGTAATAGAGTTTGTTAATCCTTTATCATAATAAAGAAATAAAGAAATGATTTAAAATAAAAAAAGACATGATTGAACTTCTTAGCACTCAAATAGCTAATTACTTGAAATAGGAAAAAAATATACAATTCGTTAGACATGTTCAGTCAGTAATTAAAGTTTACAGTTACATGAACAAATACATTGAATAGTAAAAATTACTAGTTTTATACAGAGTTGATCAAAATCGTTTTTTTTTACAAGACATTCATTTTTTTTTGTTTAAAACATGCTTTTAATGTTTTATATATTTTAGTTGTTTTAAACAGTTAGAAAAAAAATCATGTTTAAAACAAAAAAAAAAATACATTTTATACATATATAAAATATATAACATACATTAATATTAATAATATATAACATATTGATTAATTATATTTTATATTAAAGTATTCATAATCTCCCATTCTTAATCTCAAGATCGTCTCAAGTAATAACATCAAGCATACATTACACATGCACGCATGCACATACATAATTATGTGTATTGTATATACTATAGATACGCAAATATGTATAATGTTTCACATGTCTATAATATCTAGAAAGAAATTTTATTATATTATATATTCAGATTAAAATTATTTAATAGTTCAATCAAATTTAATATTTCAAAAATTTATAAATATAGTAGAGGAGAAGTATTATGGCTAACGTAGATATTGTGATCCTTCTTTATATCTCCGCTGTTATGTAGCAAATCCTAAAGATTATTTATGAAATTATTTGTTAAGCTCGCCATTGTATATTATGATTCTCATAATGCTAATATGCCAATAGCAGCATTTATTGTAACAAATTTTTACTTTCAAGTATTTTGAAACGTTTCTGAGGTACATTTTAGCACTTAATAACACCTACTTCCTCATTTTTCTTAAGCTTGAGCGTATTATCACACGAATATGTGTATATTTGAGTATTGTTTGCTATTTAACATTTTATTTAACTGTATATATTTTGAGTTATGCAAATTTAAACAATGGCATAGCAATGTGTTCTTTATGTGTATTGATTACTCATGACCTCTTTTTTGAGATTTTTATATCAAAATAATAATTTCTTGAACTAATTGTAGTTCTAATATTAATCTATAGTTTCTATAAATTTTTAGTGCCGAGGTGCCTACACAAAGTTATATATGTATATGTATATATGTATGTATATACATTTGCATACATGCATACATTTTGCAATACTCTACTTTTTTGTTAATTTTATAACCAAACTGCTTTCTAAACTGTTTTCTAAACAAAACTAACTTTTTAAGCCTATTTTTATGGAAGGCCACTTTGTCATCCATGTTTCTCTTCGATTCGCCATGCAATGTCGCCACATTTTTATTAATAGTGTCCTAAGTAATAAATGTTTCACAATTTTGTGTTCAGAATCGATTCAACAACATTTTAACGAATATAATTGTCAAGTTTTAAACTTAAATATTCATTATTAACCAAGTAAACCAAGTTATTATGTAAAATGTAACTACTGTGTAGGATGCCACCTTCTCGTTTACTAAATAGTATTAAAAATACATAAAGAAAATATTTTAAACATTTGTTTTAAAAAAAGCATATTTAATTTAATCTGAGTTGAAATATGTTTTAAATATTTGTTTAAAAAAAAAGTTTATAACAAAACAACCTTATAGTTGGATGTTGAAATTTTTTGTAGATAAAGGTAACATCACGGTAGCTACTAGAAAAAAATAATTATAAATATAGAAAAGAAGAACTACAAGACATAAACACATATGAAGTTATTGTTAAAAATCCTATTAAAAAACTCACAACTTCTTTTGATAGTTTGCTAACAAGATGGAAGAAAAACAACTACATCAATAAACAATTCAATAAACAATTACATTGCAGTGATGGGTTACTTCCGAGAACTTGGAGTGCCAAAAATATACAAACTCAATAGTCCTCTTAGAATTATTATTTCTTCGATAGGCAGTCCGTTGCATTCTTTAGTCGGATTCATATCATATATCACAATGTCACAATATCATTGTGAAACGAAAGCAGAAAGTCATATAAAAAATAACTTTCAATTAGTTGATAAACTAAAAGAAATAATAATTGAGGATGATTACAAATTAATATCATTAGATAATATTGCTTTACAAATGTCCCTATAAAATTAGCTGGATTCTGTTAACGACAATTGGGAATTTATCTTGAATAAATTCTACTGAAAGATGAACTTTTGATAGTAGTCAGATTTATTCTTGACTCCATCATTTCCATCCACAACCAGCTTTAACAACTACTGTTTTTTATCGATATATAGACGATTTGTGCACAGCGATCCCGACATCTCAAATTCTTTTCTACAACATTTTAATTTGTTTGATTCTCGTCTTCAGTTCACATTAAAAGTTGGAGACGATTCGTTACATTTTTTAGATGTCACTACCATAAAAAGAGAAAAATTTTTGTTTTGATTGGTAGCAAAGTTTTTCGAGCAAATATTTAAATTATTATTCTAACCATCCGATCTTTCAAAAAAGAGACACCATCATAAATTTAGTAGACAAAACAATATTATTATCGGAAGAATATTATACAAAAGGTTTAGCACTCATTATCAACATCTTAATTGAGAACGATTATCCACAAAAATTTATATTCGACACCATTAACAAAAGAATTTGAAGTCTTTTGCAACAAGAAATACTGAATATTAAGACCTTCTAACATTGAAAATTCAGATAACCGAATCATAGTTCATTCCTTTAATTATAGTCCTTTAATTATAGTCTTGTTCATTCCTTTAATTATAGAAAAATTCAAACAATTTACAAAATTCAACAATTAGCGCGGACACCAAAGTTTCTTTTTACAGTTCCAACAAATTACATAAATTTAAAAATTAAAAGTCTAAAAAGATTCTCTCCTCCACTCATCTGAAAGAAACATAGTCTATAAAATCACGTGCAAAGATTACAATACTTCGTATGTCAGACATATGAGTAGACAACTAAAAACTAGACTTACAGAATATCACATTCGATAGAACAAGTCTACTCGTTCTGTGATAACAGATCATAGATTACATCTAGGACACGAATCCGAATGAGAAAATACAAAGTCTTCCATTAAGAGATTTCATTTTACATTTCACAGCATTTTGTACCTTATAGATGGAGTTGTCGTATTTGACAATTGTCGAATAAAAATGTGTTGTTAATAACAATGGTTTGATATTCGCTTGAACAAAGCATAGAAAATTCTTTGCGAAGTTAGCACCTCTTTAACTTTAAAAATCGGAAATTTTAAATAATAGTATTGCTTGCATCCGCAATAGTTCTACAGTTTCTGATAGGTTTTATAAATAATTCCGTTGAGATAGGCCAAAAATTAAAAAAAATAAAAATATGCGGTAACTTTACGTGGCAAGAGTAAAATACATCTAAACAGCTAGTACTATATTAAATACGTTGTTCTTGTGATGCGATAACAGCACACAGAATAAAAAATTGTTTAACACTTCATGATCACGATTCAAAAAAGACACAATGATTACTCTGGTTTAAAATGATACACGAACCATATTTGAAATGTTACCAAATCAATAGTTTTAGTTCAACTATATTAAAAAATTACATTATTTAATTTCATTCTTAAATTTCTTATTCCTTTAAGAAAAAGGAATAATGACGTTGTAATGAAAATTTAATTTTAACATTTAAAAAGAATATTAAACATGATAATGTTTGGGAAACGAATTTTTTTGCTTAAAAAATTATAACTTTTTATATTCATAATATTTTTGTGCCTAATACTCTTGAGATAATATATTGAGATGATTTCGTTCGGATCATTTCGATCATTCAACAGGGAAGAGTTTGAACATTTAACGGAGAATACTGATGTCAAAACCTACATAAATCTTCGGAACTTTGTAGTACTGTCGGAAAAAGCCGAAAAGTCAGCCAGTTTTAGAGGTACTGGCCGTTTAAAGATATTTTACTCTTGACGTGCAGTGCCAGCGCGAGGATTAAAAAATTGTTTAAATATATTAAAATGGCCGGTAGTGTCACTAAAATTTGTCAGGAACTGTGTAACTTTTCGAATACAAAAAAATTAATTTTTTTTAAACTTGAGGTGCTAGCTCTTATTTTAAAAATTTATTTAAAAATATTTAATGGCCGGAACTATTGTTATAATCGATCAGAAACTCTTTGAGTACTTTAAGATTCTGTAAAAAAAATTGACTTTCTCGAATCTTGCGGTGCCACGCAAAATTAGCACCGCAATTTTAAAATTTTTGGTCTAAATCAATGAAACTATTTATAAAACCTATCAGGAACTGTAGAACTATTGTAGAACACTATACTGTGGGTGCAAACAGTATTGTTATTAAAATTTCTGATTTTTAAAGTTGAAGTGCTAACTTCACAGAAACGTTTAATAGGAGCAAATATAATTCCGGTAATCGACCCAGTATCACTCTGCTTATTTAATCCTGATTTTTGTTTCTTAATGTATATCATCTCAAAAATTGTTCTTTTGTAATACGAAGGGGTTTTGAATCTAAGATTAAAATATTGTTCCAATCTAAGACCTGATCTTTGTTAATGGCAAGATATAACTGATAATGAATTAGTTGGTTTATTAATATGTGTTCTTTGATTTGGGTTTTAAGTTTTCTTTTAATTTGCCTTATGTAAGAGGAGTTGCAATCTTGACAATTTATTTTATATACAATATTATATTGCAATTTTCCTCTTTTTTTTAAAACGTCTTTTCTGGTTTTTATGAATTTATCTTAATTTGTTCATAGATTTGTACGCAATTATTAGAACAGAATTTATAAGATATACTTTAAAATTTTTCAGATATTATATTAAAATAAAGAATTATATTAAAGAATTATATTAAAATAAGGAACTGTAAAAAACTTTTTGATTTGTAATTATTAAACTGTTATTATCACGTATGTTTTTTCCTTCGTTTTTTCTTTATATTTGTGTGAAAGTGATTTGATTCTTTTGTTTATCGTAACAAAAACAAAATCTAAAGGATAATTATTATCAGTTAATGTTTTTATCATGTTAGAGATGATGTTTTTATGAAATTGTGGATGTGACAGAAATAATATACGATCAATTTGTACGAATTATACGATCTTTTATGAGCTATAAGATGATTGGATAGGAAGTTCAAATATCTTCCTGAATTTGTCGGTTTTTAGATCAAACATAATTCTTCTATTCCTCAATTAACATTTTTACATAAAAAAAATTGCAAAACACTCTCACCATTATCATAATCAAGTGTGAATTTAATTCTATTATGATAATTGTTAAATTTATCTAGTATTACATTGACCTGTTCTTGTGACGCGGCTAATATGATATCATCTACATAATGGTAGTAAAAAGGAATGAATGTGATAATATCACATTGGATGTGAAAATATCAATCTCGAGATCTTAATACAATTATAGGAGACAGTGGAGATCCCATAGGCATGTCGAAAATTTATTTGAAGATTGTATCATTAAATTTGAAAAAAGTTGAATTAAAAATCAGAGATACTGCTATTATAAACTCATTTAAAGGAATTTTTATATTATATTACATATGAAACTTCATTGTTTTTTCAAACTCATAACAGCTAAATCTATAGGTATGTTTGTATACATACGATACTAACAAAACAAAATTTGACAAAAGTCAAACAAAATTTTATAATTAAGATCTAGCCATCTTTATAAGATCTCTCTAAGATCTAGCCATTAAGATCTAGCCTCTGGCCATTTATATTATTTATGAATTCAAAGCTATCTTTAATATAATTAAAACTTTTTCTAATTTTGTTATCGTATCTATAATATTAGGTGTACAACTTTGCTTCCGCCGTTTTTTTCCGAAATTCGAGGTTTTATTGTAAAAAACTAGTTATGCATTTATGATTCAAAGTATTGCCCATCGCTGGCCACTACTTTCTCCCATCTTTCGGGTAGCGTACGAATCCCGCGTCGAAAAAACTGGTCATCTTTTGAGGCTATCCACGAATCGATCCAATTTTTTACTTCTTCATAAGACCGGAAGTGCTGGTCAGTCAGGCCGTGTCATTGATCGAAACAAGTGATAGTCAGAGGAAGCAACGTCTGGAGAATACGGCGGGTGGGGTAGGACTTCCCATTTCAACATTTCCAAGTATGTCTTGACCACTTTCACAACATGGGGTCGAGCATTGTCATGCTGCAAAATCACTTTATCGTGTCTCTCGTTGTATTGCGGCCGTTTGTCTTTCAATGCTCGGCTCAAACGCATCAATTGCGTTCGATACCGATCGCCTGTGATTGTTTCAGTCGGTTTTAACAGTTCATAATACACTACGCCGAGTTGGTCCCACCAACTACAGAGCATGATCTTGGAGCCGTGAATATTCGGTTGGGCCGTCGACGTGGAAGCATGGAACCAATTTTTCGTCCCCAGTCACAATGCGATGCAGAAATCCCTTCCGTCTTTGCCTTTCAAGCAGCTGTTCACAAGCAAACAAACGCCGTTCAACATCTCTCGGCTTCAATTCGTACGGCACCCAATTTCCTTGCTTCTGAATCATTCCCATGGCTTTGAGGCGTTTTGAAATGGCTTGTTGAGTCACTCCCAATAATCGTGCCAATTCTTCTTGATTTTGACGAATCTTGCTCAAGTAATGCCTCCAATTCTGCATCTTCGAAAATCTTCTCTCTTCTACCGCTATGCCGGTCTTCGACGTCAAAATCACCGTTCTTGAAGCGTTGAAACCACTCACGATACGTTCTTTCACTATAATATAATACAATATAATATAATATAATAATAGCGGCCTCACCATAAGTATTTGAGAGCATTCGATGAGCCTCAGCCGCAGATTTCTTCATATTGAAGCAAAAAAAATTAAAACCTCCCGCAAATGACGAGAATTTGGCTCGTAAACTAACATTTTCAATCGAGAATAACTTTATGCAGACACAAATCGACTAATGTTTCTATGGGGTTATGTTGACAGATGCCCAAGTTTATTGTATGACGTCTATGATCTATTTATTTCGACCACCACTTACCG